AAAGCATCTCTTGTCCATCTAGCTACAGAATAATTTGTGTACGTCATGAATCACTGCCACACCCTTGGAAGCAACGTTGCCATAACTTGCTGTTTTAATTACATTTTATTATGCATGCTTGCAATAATTTAGATGAATTCCCAGACTGAAGGCTCAGCTCCCATGCGGGTGCTGGTGACGGGGGGGTCCGGCTTGGTGGGGAGGGCCATACAGCATGTGATCAAGGAAGAAGGAGCGTCGAAGGACGGGGAGGACTGGATATTTCTGTCCTCCAAAGATGCAAATCTCACGTGAGCATCGCTGCAGTCTTCGCTACAGAACGTGACATTCCTCTGGAATGAAACGGGTTTCGTGTCCACGTGTAGTTTTCATGCGCTCTGGATGGTTTTTCAGGAACAAAGAGGAGACGCTGGCAGTGTTTGAAAAACATCGGCCCACCCACGTCATCCACCTGGCTGCTATGGTGGGGGGGCTTTTCAAAAACATGAAGTACAACCTGGACTTCTGGGTAAGCCCCTCCTCTACTCACGCTGATAACCGTGCACACAGTTAAGAGTTTACTGTGGTTGAGTTGAAAAGTGTTTCGTGGCCTTCAGAGAAACAACGTTTCCATCAACGACAACGTGCTGCAGGCAGCGCACGACGTGGGTGCAGTTAAGGTTGTTTCCTGTCTGTCTACCTGCATATTTCCTGATAAAACGACGTATCCCATCGACGAAACCATGGTAACAGATGAGCTGTTCGCACCGGTCAGTGAATTCTGCATAAACGGTCCCTGACTTTCCTTCACCGTCTCTGCACCAGATCCACAATGGTCCACCTCACGACTCCAACTTTGGCTATGCATACGCGAAAAGGATGATTGACGTTCAGAACAGGTGTGCTCCTCACGTTTTCAAAATATCAGTAAAAATAAATTGGCTACATGTTTTTTTTTAACAAAGACTACATTTACAGGGGTTATTTCCAGCAGTACGGTCGTGGCTATACAGCCGTGATCCCCACAAACGTGTTTGGTCCTCATGACAACTTCAGCATAGAGGACGGTCATGTGCTTCCAGGCCTCATTCATAAAGCATACCTTGCTCAAAGTAAGTTGCATTTTAAGGTTTAAAGTGACAAGGTTGGGTACATTATTTTAAAATTTGCAATTAAATTATTTGCCGTTGGTCAGAGGAGGGAAAGCCCCTGGTGGTGTGGGGCTCCGGCTCTCCGAGAAGACAGTTCATCTACTCTTTGGACTTGGCTCGCCTTTTCCTCTGGGTCCTGAGGGAGTATCCAGAGGTGGAGCCGATCATTCTCTCTGGTGAGTTCCACAAAATGTTGACGTTTCCGCAGTTCCGAGTGGTTTAACGGTGTGTTTTTGCTCCAGTTGGTGAGGAAGATGAGGTGTCCATAAAAGCGGCAGCAGATGCAGTGGTCGAGTCGCTGGGCTTTAAAGGAGAAGTGGCGGTATCCTTTGACTCACCGAGATTATCACCTTCTTAAGCCGAGTTTAAATGGGAAACGGTACATGCGTACAAAGCTTGAACTCGGGATTAACGGGGGCAGAAGTTCAGTTTTTTTCTGGGGACATGGCAGAACTGTAATTACCTCTCTTCATAGGCCATTTATTGGTGGTTCCCTTGACCCAAGTTGCTCAGTACGACACCAGTAAAGCAGACGGCCAGTTCAAAAAGACGGCCAGTAACGCCAAGCTCCGCCGCTACCTGCCGGACTTCAAATTCACCCCCTTCAACCAAGGTGGGACGATGACTCGGGTGTTTGAATAAACATTGAATTGATCTCTCTGCTCACCGGTTGTTTTTTTTTTTTTGTTCTCGCAGCTTTAAAAGAAACATGCGATTGGTTTGTTGCCAACTACGACACAGCTCGGAAGTAAAAACCTGCTGCTGATCCAGATGATGCCGAGCCCGGAGACTCGTTCTGTTAGAGGTCAGAGGTCACAAGCGCAGACGACAGTGGGCCAAGCGACTGATCCTGAATGAGAAGAGCTAAATTTGTTTGAGTTAAAGTCTGCAGGACCAAACTGTAGCACGTGGTCCGTGTTGCAGACCTTTCTCAGTTTATTCAAACTAAAGATATGGTTGTGGTTACAGTTCCTGTTTTCTTCAGTTAAATTATTCAAACTAGTTTTTTTAATTCAGGTGGTAGATCTTAAAGTAGCCAACTGTTTCTCATATAAACCTTTTTAAACCTTTTCTATAAATATTAAAGGGTTTATGGTTGACTGGTGGAACATTGTTACTGTATATACATTTTAAAAAAGGTACTGGTTTGGGTTTATTTTCACACGGACTAGTAAAATGTTTTATACCTACACCGTTAAGTGTCTTGATTAAAACTTTTTAAAACGTTTCTCCCCATTCAGCCACTTGAAGCGGAGGAATTTATTTAAAAGATAAAACATGGGAACAAACAAATACATTTAAAATATCTACAAAGGTTTGTTCAAAAACAGTTAACGAAGACGACAACTCTTTATAAAAACCAAACAGATCTAAAAAAAAACGAGTTCAGGAGAGCGTGTAAGAGGCGTGCCCCCCCTCGTGGACTCGGCAGAACTCCTGTCCCAACACGGCTCTCTTCTTACAGGCCTTGCCTGTTTTTGTGATTCCGTTACACAGCTGCCGGCCGGACAGCGAGCTGCTGCAGAAAAACAAGTTTTTAGTGTTCAAGTCAGTGGTTCCCAACCCTGGTCCCTGAGGAACACCACCCTGCATGTTTTAGCCGTTTCCCTGCTTCATCACACCCGATTCAATGATTTAATTACTTCAAGTTCTTATGAAGCCCGTTAATCACCACATCAATCAAATCAGGCGTGTCAAAGCAGCAAAACTGCTTCAGGATGGTGTTCCTCAGGGACCAGAGTTGGGAACCATTGGTTTAAGATAATTATGTGAAGGTTGACCAAAAGAAAGAAAACCTAAAAAACTTTAGACCTGTTGGTGGCCAGCGATGGGGCGGGACTGGCTCTCCTCGAGTCGGTCCTGAAATCAGACCAGAACTCTGAATCTGAAACCCCTCCCAGGTTCTTCAGGATGATGTCATCGGTCAGACCCTGTAAAATAATTTCAGTGCATTAAATGGTGGCTCAAAGTTTTTATATTTACATCTAAATAAAAGAACAGCATAAACTGGATTGGCTCACTCTTGAGAAAACCGAGTGAGGAGTCGGTCTGGGAGTGGAGTGACTGGATAAACCAAACGCAGGGGGAAACCTGGGCTCTGGTTTACTGGGAGGGGGGCACACTACTGATATGCTCAGGTCAGCTGTACAAAGAGAAACAGGGGAAAATGTAAAAATGCATCTATTTCTGTCAAGAGCTGTTACAAAACGTGTTTTCCACCTGATAAATTGTCATAATTGGAGTCATCTGGCTCGACGCCGTCCGTTACCTCCCTGAAAGACAAAAACAGCAAAGATTTTAGAACCGCACGTTATTTACGTTTGAAAACTAATTCAGCATTTACAGTTCCTATATTTTTTTTGGCACATTCTCGTCCCACAGTTCAAGATATTTCCACAAATCATGAATCAAAATGTTCAGCTCTTTCAGGACAATCCTGCTATGGCTTTTGGTATTGGTGCAACTTTAGCTTTTTAAAATATTTAGCCTTTTCTGCCATTTTTTTTTCCCTCATAGAAAATGAATTGAGCTCATTTTACATCCTTCAAATGTTTAGATGTGTTTACAACCTTTTACTGCTCCTTGCACATTTTATTCTGCTTCAGCTTCTTTCAGCTAATTTAAACTTTTTTCCAGCCAATTTCAGTTAATTTCAGCTGTTTTGTGCTTTTTTTTCCCACATTATTTCTGCTAACTACAACATTTTTGTGCTTCTTCTAACTTTCTGCTAATTTCAGCTTGTTATGCTCCTTTCAGCTTTTTCTGCAATTTCAACTATTATTTAGCTGTTTTTATGCTAATTTTAATTTTTTCAGCTAATTCCACATTTGTTGCACTCATTTCAACATTTTTCAGCTTAATTCAAGGAAAATGTATTCTCTCCACTTCAGGTAATCTAAGCTGTTCTCTGCTTTTTAGCAGTTTTTTTTTGTGTGCCAATTTCAGCTTTTTTTCAGATAATTTCCGCTTCTTTGAGTGTAATTGGACAAACATGCTCTTTCTGCGTTCTGCTAATTTAAGCTCGTTCTACTTTTTCAGCTAGCTGTTTAGCATTTTTTAAGCTAATTTCAGCTGTTTTCAGATTAAATAAAATTTTTCATGGTCATTTCAGCTAGTTTATGCTCCTTTCAGCTTTTTTCTGCTATTTCAGCTACTATTTAGCTGCTTTATGCCAATTTTAGCTTTAAGCTAATTCTACTTTTTTAGCTAATTTCATCTCTTTCTGCTTCCTTCTGGTAGTTTGCTTCTTTCTGCCTTTTCAGCTACTGTTCGGCTATTTTTTCCTAATTTCAGCTTTTTTTTAGCTACTGTAAATCCCTAATTTTTGTGTTAATTTCTGCTTAATTAAACCTAATTCAGCAAATGTGTTCTTTCTGCTAATTTAGGCTTGTTCTTCCATGTCAACATGTTTTTTTTTTTTTTAGCTAATTTAAGCCGTTTTTCAGCAAGTGCTTCTGTAATAAGCATTTACACAGAATCTAATTTCTCTAGTTTACTAAATGTTTTACTTGGATACATTGAGATTTCTTAAAAAAAAAACATTTGTGTTTTAATAAGTTCAGTGTAGTTGCTCCATCTTTGTGTTCTTGAGCTACTTTTAGCTTTTAGCTAGCCTTTTGCAATATTTAGCTTTTAACTCAAAGGCTTCTCAGTTCAGTTTCAGCTTCTTCAGCAAATTTCTGCCTTTAAGCATGTCACATTTAAATCCAGTTTAGCTAGTTTTAAAACGTGTTTGAGTGGGAAGTTTAGTTTATTGACTCACCTCTGCGGTGTTGAACACGGAGGATACGAGTTTTCTGACGACTTCGCCTCTTTTTGCGGCGCCACGACGTAGACTGGGTAAGGAGGAGGGAGTGACGCAGCCGACTCTCTGCTCAGAAAGACCCACAGCTGCGTCACAAACCAGTGCCCTGTAGACAAAATGTTAGAACTGCTCTCAGATTTCAGCCAGTCTTCGTATTCGCCTTGCACTTTGCCGTCAGTACCTAGAGATGCAGCGAGCAGCAGCAAGCTGAGGCTGCTCAGATCCAGCGCCGGCTGCTGGTTGACCTCTGCCGCTGCGTTCAGGGGCACCACGAGCAGCAGCATGGCTCGAGAGAAACCTGAACAACGCAGGAACGTCAGCAGGACCGCACACAACACCAAGTATCCTGTGTGTGCCAGACACGACCACATGGCTGTCAGACTTAAACCTGCAAGAATAAAAAAAAAACATATCTTTACGTGAACTAGCCGAAAGCTAAATTAATCTACGAGAACTAGCCATCTGGGATGTCCAAACTTAATTAAAAGGTTCCTTAAATGACGTTGATGCTCTCCTCACCTGTCCGGCCGAGGTAGCCCTGGATCGTGTGCAGCCTCTCCTCAATCCCACCCTGCATGCGATCCAGAAGGTGCAGCATGAAGCCCAGGGTGCTGTTCATGCGCTGCAGTTTGTCCATCAGGTCGGTGTAGTACTGCGAAGTCTGGTCCTGGTACAGCAGAAACTCGGCCACGCTCTGGTCTGAAACAAATTCATATACAGCTTCCATTTTAATGCAGCACATTCATTTTCTGCCATTTTAATTTGGTGAAATTACCAATTCTTTGGTAGATGTCTTGAGCTTGCCGTCTCACATCTGCGAGGTCCTCGGCGATCACCTTGTGGCCGTCCTGCACCTCTGAGGTTTGGATCTGCAGTTGCTCACTCACGTTCTCTAAACAGAGCAGACGTATTCAAATCATAATGTTTTATGTCTTGAAGACATGCTTGTAGTTTAAGTAGCTGATTGGATTTTGGTTTCATGGACAAATATAACAGAGTATCATCAGCATAACAATGAAAATGTATCCCATGCTGTTTAATAACTTTACCTAATGGAAGCATATATAAAAAGAGTATTGGTCCAAGCAATGAACCTTGAGGAACTCCAAGACTAACGTTGGTAGAAGATTTATCATTTACATTTACAAATTGGAATCCATCAGTAAAGGTTGCTGAGATGACTCCTGTTGTGACTTGGCCCTATATAAACTGAAGTAAATAATCAATGGAGTGAAATGGGAGGCGTCAACAACCAAAAAAAGTCTTCCATGTTGAGTCAGGTAAGTCAGGATCAAAACTCAAAACATTCTTAGTTGTGGTGTTTTAAAGAAACGAGCCCATTTGGAAACTCTTACCCATTTTCTTTGTGATGCCGTGAATCAGCTGAGCTACCAGCTCCTGTCCAGAGGCGATGAGGGCCTTTTCCTGACTCAGGCGGTCCAGGTTTGCCCTCAGCGAGTTCTCCATCTGCTCCTGGCCTTCGTGCAGTTTTCCCTGCTGCGTGTGCAGAGCACCGTGGCCCTCGAGCAGCTTGTCCAGAGACGCCGCGGTCAGCTCCTTCAGCTCCAGCTGCCCCTCCTGTTTGAAGAGTCAGGCCGGTCACAGCAGCACCTGCAGCAACGTTTTGACGTGAACCGAGCTCTACCTTCAGGTCTTTCATTGCATCCAGCTGGCTGGTGGCCGTGGAGATGAGCGCGTTCACCGTGAGCTCCGCTCGCCGCCGAAAAAGCTGCTGGCGAGTGGCGTAGCAAACCGAGCGCGCTCTGTTGCTCACGATGTGGTACGCGTTCCACGTGTCTGGATCCATGTCGGCTGTGCACGCTCCAATGGTCTGAAAACCAAACCTCAGCGTTACGACCCCTCGTGAATTCATCAGAGATCCGTTTTAACACCTTTTGATCCCGTTACCATTTCCTCTGTACACGGAAACGTCCGGCGCCCCTCGCTCTGTGCCTGGCAGTTAAAGAGTTCAACTCCGAGCTTGGCCAGAGTTTCCTCAGAGAGACCCTCGCAGCTGGATTTTAGTTGAGCGATCACCTGCGAACGAGGCCGAAGCTTTCAGTGAAATTCATTTTCTTGAGGGTTTCTTGTTGGTTGAATGTAGTTCTCATGTTGTCTGAACACTTACCGACGACAACAACAACAACAATAGACCATCATAAAATAAGCATACAGATTATTTTTTTATTATTATTAACTAATGCAGCGAAGCGACGTATTTATGGATTTTTCCACTTTATTAGACATAATGGGACCGATGCAACTTATAGGGCGGTGCAACGTGTACGGCAGAAAATACGGTAGTTTCTATTCAATTTTGGACCAACTGCTTCAGCACACTTTTAGCTATTTCAGACATTTAAATATCAAAATGTTCAGCTCGTCATTGCAGCTCTGGCTTTTAGTTTGCGTAAACCTTTTGAATTAGTCACCTTTACATTTTTCTGATGACGCATTAAGCGCTCTCCACATCCTTGATAATCTTTGTGTTCTTTGAAATTTACCTCAGCATAATTACTTCGTTTTTAGCTTGTAGCAGCTGTTTTGCCAGCTTCGGCTACTGTTCTGCCAATTCTATATTGTGCTTTGTTCATTTTAGGATCTGTTCTGATAGTTTGAACAATTTGTTTTCAGCTTCATGCAAATTTTGCAACGTTTAGCAAAAAAAAAAAAAAAAAAGTAAACTTTTCTAGTTCTTCTAAATTTTCCTCAACGTTTTATTTTTCCATTTAATTTGTGTACAGCAGAATATATGCCATTTGTCTGAAAATAAATAAATAAAAAATGCATCATGTGAGCAGAGGATGCAGGTAAACCGTGTTCACCTTGTAATGGCAGCTGTCCAGCGGGCTGAGCTCCAGCTGCTTGGCCTCAGTCAGAAACTTCTCATCCGCAGTCGTCATCTCAAACTGAGCATCTTCTGCGAGAGGTGCAGGAGCCGCTGCAGGAGGAGAAGGAGGTGCTGCCGTAGGAGGAGTCCATGAGTTCTTCAACCACTCAAACAGACCGCTGACAAGAGGACAGGTCAGGATGCAGACGGCGAGCAGGAAGTGGGGGCGGTGGGTCATGTCTGGATCAACACACAAAAACATGCAAGGAGTTTGTTAGATTCATTTGCAGGTCTGCTCTGAGGTGGAACGTTTTTCTTTTAAAAGTTCTGTCAGATGTGCTTTTTGTAAACTGATTTTTATTTTTCGGCAAGAGGAGACGACATACCAGAGCTCAGCTGAACGTGGCCTCTGAGCTGTTCTTCAGTTTCAACATAATGTTCGTCAGGATTTTTATTTTTGGTCTCAGAGAGTTTTGTCCACCGGCAATGGTTTTATTATTATTTTTTTTTTTTAATTGCATCTATTTATACTTTTTCTTTTAATTCTATTAAAATACTCGTGTATAAAAGGCAGGCTTATGGAAATCATTAAGGTAAACCATTTTTATGTGGGAAAAAAAAATGTTTAGATAAATTGCAACAATTTGGGTACATTAAAGTATTAAAGTGCAGATTTCAACTGTTTATACGGACTATAGTGTTTGTTCTTTTAAAAGTTTTCCAAGTCACAAACTGTGGTCCTTGTTTCATATAATCCTAAAATCTACATATTGTACATGATAAATGATAACAGTATATATATTTTTTTTGTTGTTGTTGTTTTGTTTTGTTTTTTCCCAGTTTTCAGTTCAGGTTCATTTGGTTCTCTTCACCTGGATGAAATTAAAGCGATACTAAAAATAGCCACTAGGTGGCGACATTTCGCCAATTATAATTAAAAAATAAGTTAAGAACTACTGTATAAAATATATAACTATCCGAATTGTTTGAGTTTAAATCGTGTTCATTAAGTCAATGCAGCATTTTGTATTTTAATTCAGGACATGATTTAATCTGAATTAATTCACTTACAGGTAAAAATTCAAACCCAACACATTGAGGCTTGTCCAGGCATGTCTGCTCTGCACAGGAGAAAACTCTAAATGTGAAATGTTAAATTTGTAAAAACGCACGAAACTAATCTGACTGTCAGTGAGTAAAACGAGCACATTGACTGTATGCTTTTTTTCCCCACTTTAATATCATAAATAGGATAATTGACATTGAGAATGGTTATCTTTAATAGAAAAACCAAGTAAATATTAAGGAATAAGTGAATAAGGCAACAGATGAACGCATTTTTTTAAGCATTTACCTGTTAGATTGTAGTCGCGGACACTCAGGTCTCCCACAGCTGAATGAAATTACGCTAAAAGTTCCACTATGCACTCGCGTTTTCTATCAGTCTTGGGTATGTTCGATTTATTGAACGCCTTCACAGAAAACTGCAACGCTCTTGGAAAAAGAGGCAGAAACGAGCTCCGCCCACCTCCGGCTGCCGACCAGAAGTGAAAAGCCAACGATCCTACTTCTGCTTCATTCTGTCAAGTGGTTGGTTTGTGCGGATGCTCTGGATTACTTTTTTTTCAAATTAAAATAAACTGGATTTTTAGTTTACATACGCCGTACACCAACAGCTCAGAAAAATCAGGTGAATACTAATCCGGTTTCTAGCGTTAGAAACTTTTTATTTTTTTAATCGTGTTTAAATAACTCCGTGATACTTTATGGTTGTTCAACCAAATATGCATGTGCATTGTATGTACCATGTAGTCCGCCCGGGATTATTAGCTATTTCTTGCTAAACGCAGCAGCACGGCTGTTTCGTTTTGGGTGTTTTGTTTTAAAAAAAAACTAATCGAGATTTTTTGTCTCGGTGTACATAATTTATATATGAAATATTGCTAAGATCTTCGCTAAAATCTGTACAGCTCATCCATGTTAGCATCTCTTTAGCCGAGCCGGATGTCGTGAAGAAGAACGTAAAGGAGACTGAACTGTCGTGAAAGATATTTTGCCATTAGATGTGCTAAATGACACACAGTGGCATAAAGAAACAAAACAGACCTTTAGAGTGTGACAGGAACATTCAACGTTTGAGCGAAAATTATTTTATTGTCTTTATTTACGCAAATGTTTTGGATCATTCGCTTTAACAGTTTAGGAGTGTGGGATATAATAAATCGATAGAAGAAGAACCTGCTGCAACTGCACACAGCATGATGTGCAAATAAAACACTGCTTTTATGATTCAGAAAAAATAATACATTGAGAAATAATTATTTATAGAGACATGGATATTCAACAGCAGCACAACTTCCAAAACGAGCATTTAATTGATTTATGACTTAAAATCTCAACAATTTCACATTTATTGATGTGCTGCTATGCACTGGTTTAATCTCTGACATGGATTCCAAAGAATAACAGGGCTACTGTATGTTACTGATTTATTTGTTGTATTTTAAAGACTTGTTTAAAATGTGAACAAATACAAAAGAGCAGTGTATTGACAGACAAGTGTCTATATATTACATTTTCAGAAATTTTGCACGTAGTCTGCGCCCTTAAATACCAAAAAGTTGTATACACTTATTTAAAATGATAAATATCACAACAGTGTTAATTTTATTTCTAGTTAAAATTTTCTTCTTTTTTTTTGGTGTATGATTTAAATGAATATTTCTATGTTTGACAAAAGATGCTTCACTTCAGTTTAAGATTTTTTTTTTAACATTAATTATTGACTATCTTTAGTAGATGTGAAAGTAACAAGAAGTTAACCAGAAATATTCACATGACTGCTGAATGACTTTGCTGAACTTTGCAACTAATTAAATAGGAGCTAAAACTTACTAATGATCAAAGTCCATGTTCTAACATTATGAAATCAGTGCATGTAATTCTGGAGGGCTTGTGTTTTTTAAATGCTTCCTGTGTTTCGCCTCAGATCATAATGGACCCGGACTCGCAGCTGAAGGTCGGCTTCATCGGAGCAGGACACATGGCTTTTGGCATCGCTAAGGGGATCTTAGCCGGTGAGGGCAGGATGGTGTTACGACACCCGAGCAGAGTCGGAGTCTGATGAGTGTTTGCTGTTTGTTGTAGGAAACGTTCTTCCTGAAAACGTCAAAGTGAGCGCACCTTCCTCCAGAAATCTGAAACGCTTTCAGGTACTTTTCAACATTTCATGCTTTTTTTGTTGTTGCTGGGACCCTGTGTACATAATTTCGCTCCACCACATGTACCACATGAGGTGCGAATGACAATAAAGAAACTCTGACTCTGACTCTGACTCTGACTCTGAAAATGGCAAGAAAATACTTTTTTTTTGTGACCTCAATGGGATTTGTCAGATTAAATAAAGGTGTACTGATACTTGTTATGGTTTCAGGAACTTGGCATTGCAGTAACTCACTCCAACCAAGAGGTAGTCTGTGGGTCACACGTGGTCTTTGTTGCAGTCAAACCCCACCTGGTCCCACTGGTTCTGTGTGAGATCTCTCAACACGTCACAGACAGACACGTTATCGTGTCGGTCGCAGCAGGAGTCACCCTGGCCACACTCGAGGAGGTCGGTGCTGCATATGTGAAATGCTTTAAAATAAAAGTTTTGGATCTAAATAAACACTTTGTTTTGATTTGAAGCTCCTCCCAGAGAACTCGGCTGTCGTCCGGCTGATGCCAAACCTTCCCTGTGTCGCTCAGGAGGGCGCGCTCCTGTTCGCACGAGGAACCGACGCGAAACCAGAGGATGGCGCTCGGCTTCGTTCCTTGTTGCATCACTGTGGGTTCGTGGAAGAGGGGCCCGAGGCCTGGATAGACGTCCACACAGGACTGAGTGGGAGCGGAGTCGCTTTTGTGAGTCTCCAATGACTTTATCGTACTTTGCAAAACATTTCTGTAATTCTTTTTGGTTTATTGTTGAAAAAGTAGTACCATATTTTCCTGCGTATAAGTCGCTCCAGAGTACAAGTCGCATCAGTCAAAAAAAGCATCACGAAGAGGAAAAAACACAAGTCGCATTTATTATACGGCACTGCTGACCCGTCGCGTTTATTTAGTGGTCAAAACAGCTTCATTTCGCCTGGGGGGGGGGGGGGCACGGCACCATCCATCCATTGTGGCCGGAGCCGCTAGCTCTCCAACGTTCTTCCACCTGCACCAGCTGAATGAAGCGAGCGCGCACGGGAGGACTCGCTGTTGCAGTTCTTAGAAACTGAAAGCGTCAGTCAAAAATTGTCTTATGAATATGGAAAAAAACATATAAGTCGTTTCGGTGTATAAGTTGCAGGTCTGACAAATCTGTGCAAAAACTGCGACTTATACGCCGGAAAATACGGTATTTGAAATAAGTAAAGTTATTAAAAGTGGAGACAGTTTTTTTTTTTCTTTGCCAAAATGCAGTGTGAATGCTGAATGTTTGCCCTAAAAGCTGAAACATAAACTAAAATGAGCAACACTAAAGCTAAACTGAGCAGGGGAAAAGCTAAAAGCAGCAAAACACTATTTCAAATTAGCCGAACAGTAGCTAAAATTAGTAAAGCGGTTGCTAGAGTTAACAAAAATAGATAGTAAAGCTAAAAATATTTTGTTTGTTTAAAACAAAATAAAACGAAACAATTCAATATACAATAAGAAATACAATCACAAATAAAATGAAAGGCAGCAGAAAGAAGAAGAACAAAAAATCTTATCTGCCCCTTTTTACCCAAAAATTAATTCAAACAATAATAATCTTCAAATCCAAAACAAACAACTTCACCTCACTAACTCTACAAATCTCAACGCCCTCGGCTCTAAATGGAACATCGACGGTTCTCTTTCTATTACTGCATATCATATAGTTGGTTTTATCTAAGTTAAATGAAAAATTGTTAAGTTTAAAACAAGTTTGTATTTTTACAAATCCTGTCTGCATCAACTCCAACACCCGTTCTTTATCTTTACCCAAACAAAAATGTGGTACCATCTGCAAATAAAATACATATTAAGGAGTCCCGACACATTTACAAAGTCATTCACATATAAAATAAATCACTTTGGTCCAAGTACAGAACCTTGAGGAACTCCACATGTGATATTATAGAGGTTAGATCTTACATCATTTATTTGTGCAAACTGTTTCCAATCTTTCATATAGCTAGATACCCACTGTAGTGCTGGTCCTCTAATGCTATATTTAAATAAAAAGCTAAAATGATCACAGGCGTAGCTAAATTTAGCAAAACCAGTGCTAGTTTTCTAAAACGGATGGTTATGGTAAAAATGGCAACAGATGCTAAATAAAATATAAAAGTAGCAACATGGTAGCTATAGATGCTTATCAAACCTGTATCTTAAAGTATCAAAATAGATGCTAAAGCTAAAATCAACAGATAAATTGTAGCTAAAAGTAGCATAAAAAGACAAAACTAGAGCTTGCATGCTGAAGCAGCTTTTATTAAAGACAACATGTTTGTTTTTATCTTATCACTGATTTTTTTTTTTTATTTGATAGATGGTAATTCTTTGCGTTAAGTGGAAGATCCTTTATCGCAGTGTTTGACAGTTGTATGACGGATTGAGTTTCCAAACCAAAAAGCCTTTTTCAGTTGAGTTGAATGAAGAAGAACTTCCCTGGTGTAACTTTGATCTGTCGAACCGCTAAGCTCTTCACTCCTCGCCTCCTTCTCTGCAGGTTTATCTTTTTGCTGAAGCTCTGGCAGAAGGAGCTGTTAAAATGGGCATGCCAAGCGCTCTGGCCCAAAGCGTCGCGTCCCAGACCGTTCTGGTCAGTTTCACGAAGCGTGCACGTTTGTTTAAAGCACCAGCATTCGGTCATGTTGATGTTCGGTGCGTTGCAGGGTGCTGGGAGGTTGTTGCGCGACTCTGGGAAGCACCCGGCTCAGCTTCGCTCTGAGGTCTGCACCCCAGGTGGAACAACCATCTATGGGCTTCACGCGCTGGAGCGGGGGGGCGTGAGGGCGTCGGTTATGAGCGCCGTGGAGTCGGCCACCGAGCGAGCCCGGGAACTCGGCCGCAAACCGGCGGCAGGGAACAGGAAGTGATGGCCTTTTCAGGAGCACTCCTTTAAAACAAACTTTTTGTCAAATTAAACATGAAACTCGACAAAAAGAAGAAAAACACTTTTTTTTTAGTATTTTATTTTTGCTTTTTACACCCGTCTGTCTTAAAACGGTATACTCCATGTACTGTGTATAACATCTGGTGGTCATTTGCCATATTTTATAAAGTGTCACATAAACAGTTTCTTTTTATTTGTTTATTCAAACTCCTGAAAAATGATTGTGCAAATTAAAAGAGCTGGCTCCAATTTAAGTTTCATTTGTGATTCTTAAGGAAGTTTACCAGACAGTTTCTGCAACAAACGATAAACTTGGCTTTTAAAGTCGTTTTCTGTCGAAACGTATGAACTCTGGTGGTTGTAGTTTTTTTTTTACTGCAGTGACGAAACGTTTTGTGCTTTTGTGTTCCAGATTAAAACGTCTGGGTTGTTGGTTGCTCGTTCAAGGAAACATGGTCCTAAATAAAAGTGTTCAGACCAGGGGTTGAAGACTACATGTTTTTTAAAGTCGCCTTTAACACGATAAAAGTCGAGTCGACTCGTCGCTGTGACGTCATCGAGACGTTATCACAAGTCGTTTATCATTTACAACAAAAAAAAAAAAAAAAACGACATCGAGACATTTGTGTTATCATTCTGCAAATAAGTCACAGGAAAACCAAAATTATTATTAATGTGCAAAAGTTAGTTTTATTTTATTTAATCCACTGAATAAACCACAGCAGCAGTGGTGCACCCCCCCCCCCCCCCTTTTATTTTATTTAGTGGATTCATTAAAATAAAAAAACTATCCACCACGGTGCACGGTGGTGGATTCTCCACCGGTGGTGGTGCTCCCCCCTTGTCCAGACAAGTCTTTGGATAAATTGTGGTGGAGACATTTTTAACAAAATAAATCAAATTTCTCTCCACACAATTTTTCCGATCTGTCTGAGAGTCTAAAATAACTTCCTTTGTTTCCCAGTTATTTTTCATTCAACCTTTATTTAGACAGGTTAATCCCATTGTTATGATCAGATTATCCGATATGTAGTGGGGAAAACGACATTTAATTTTATTTTATTTTATTTAATCAAGGAAATACAAGATCCAGTTTAGTATTTAGTTGGTGGACAGAGGATGCAGAGGACTTGAGGTGCAGGAGGATGTGGTGATCCCTGAAGAGAGAAAAGACGGAAGAAGAAGAAGAAGAGAGATTAATTATGAGATGTAAAGACAATGAGTGGTATCTTCTTAGTATGACTGAATGTTTTTTTTAATTTCTATCAACAATGGCGCTGGAGTAATACTGTTCTTTGTGCTACAGCTACTTTAATTTTAGCATTAAAAAAAAAAAAAAAAAAAAAGTGCCAGTGCGCATGCGCATTAGGTAAACGTACAAAACTCACAGCGTCATCTAGTGACCTGGCATGGTAACTACAGCGAACTTGGGGGGGGGTTATGCGGTTGCGTCTGAAAAACTGTGCGTGAAGGAGCACTACAGATGCCATATTTGCTTTGAGGATGCTAATGGAGAAGTACAGAGAGGGTCAACTTGATTGTGTCTTTGTGGATTTAGAAAGAACATAGACAGGAGGCGGAGGGACCAGCTTGGAGGAGTGATCCCCTGCTCCCTCAGATCACTCCGCTGCTCCCGTTTCCACCTCCTCCGCCTCCTCCTCTTTCCCGTTGTCACTCACGCCTTGTGAAACACGCGTGTCCTCTTCAGGCCTGCTTCCACACCAAATAAAGCCAAACACAGCAGTAAGTGTCGTTAACGCTGGCTGGTAGCTGGGGTTTTAGTGTTGTTGGGACTACTTTACAGGATGCTTTTGGACATGATCAAACGTCAGAGCAGGTTTAGCTCGAGTTAGCCGCAGCTAGCGGGTGGCTAGCTGAAGCTGTCAGCTAACGCTGCTCCGAGCAGCTGTCCCTCCTTCAGTCACCTCCTGTGACTCCTCATCTAAATGCCATTCAATGATTTTACCTCGTTTTATTGCAAGTAGCGGCATTTTAGCATTAAATGTTAATTAATTTAGCAGAAACTGGTGTGACGCTGATTAAACACAATTTTCGAGGCTAGCACACATGAGACAGCAGAGATTAAATTCATCTGCCCAAGGTGAGCAGGTTTTGAACGATATTCTTTTTAATAATAGTTTGTCTAATTTTAAAATGTTGCTATAATTTTCTGTGTTTTTTTTTTTAATAAAAAGCCAGCAATGATTGACTCCATCATGGCTGCTCAAGTGTCCTTGGCTTGCACAGTTTTCCAGCTTTCAGACATTTTTACAATATTTAAAGTGTCTCTTATAATTTTTGATTGTGCAGTGCTTTGCAAAACACTCAAGTCATTTCTCATTTTTAAACATTTATTCCCAAGGAGTAAAGTGGTCTTGATCAACAGTTTTCTGGGCTTTTTGTTGGTCTTTACAGACTTTCTTTGGCAACCTGACTACTTGTAGAGAAATGATTTCTTTATTAAACTAGATCTCTGCCTTTGAATCAGAAATCAGTTTTTGCATTTTCACAAACCAAACCACTAGGGATTGTTTTAAATTTATTGGATAACTAGGCACACTACATTACCAGCAGCCAGTCACAAAGACAGTTGGTTTGCATTTCTCATCATTATCTGAAAATGTAGCTTGTAGAAGTAGATTACGGTGACTAAAAGACGACGTGCCTTCCAGGTCCCTTTTTGTCATATTTCTTAAAAGTCTCAACTTCCAGACGCACATCTAATGACCTGGAAATGAAACGAATGGGTTGGCGAAGTCCAAATAAAACTTTGATGTAAAATCTTTCAGAAGCCTGGGGAGCTGCTGATCAAGGTTACTTTAAAAGCGAACACGAAAGTCGGGCTCCTTGGAAACAAAATGAGCGGTTTAAAACGTTTACGTACCACATGTAAGGTTTGCAGTGAGTCGACCACACTTTGATCATTTGAATGAGACAGAAAAAAATAATACAATTTACAGTACGGTACTTTCCAACAAAAGAAAGAAGTAATACTTCTGATAACTGCGTATAATCTGTTTGTATTGGCTGAATACATCTGTGACACTTAAATTCATGCCTTTTGTACAAACAATGCCTTATTTAAAGTTTAAACCTGAGTTTAGCTTTATTATTTAAATAATATATACACATATCAATCATATATACACGTGTGTATATGTATACTGTGTACTGGCTGTAACCCGTTAAGATAAATCACTTTATTGATCCCGCAGGAAATTGTTGTGCCAGAGTTTCAGTTCAAAGGAATCACACAAGATATAAAAATCACAGAAAATATAAAAATACCAACAATTAATGTCTAAAACAATGGAAAGGTGGGTCTTTAAGACGCATCCAATGTTGTAAATTTTTTTATAGTAGTGCCCAAAATTTGATCTATGCAGTTTATTTTAAGTTTTCTCCAATGTTGAAATTGTAACTTGTTAAATTTATAACAAGGTTTACTCCCGACTCTTTCAGTGACTTTGTTTTAACTGCACATTTTGAAGTATTTTTATTTTTTTGGTCTTTGAAACATCGACGTGCTCCTTTTTGCTTTGCGCTATGCGCTCTCCTAATTCTGTGTTGTGCTTGTGTCAGCTGTTTTAACGTTGCAAGGTGATGATTGGTACATTTCTTTTTTAATTGCTTGCGGTTACCTGGATGAAAAGAACTTGTTGAGCATTTGACTTTGATGCTAGGTTGAGAGCAACACTTATACCAAGGAAGGTGAGTCGAGAGCTTAAATTCTAATAAATGTCGAGCAGGAAATAATTTCCAGAAATGCAGCGGTTCTCAAACTGTGCCGCCAACAATAACGGGTCGGTCTGTTCAGGTTGTCAAAATTTAATTTATATCACAAGTGGTCATTCGCCACCCTGACAAATTTCAGGCAGACTTCCTTGTTGCCTTTTTTCCTGACTGCTGATGTTCAGTATTTCTAGTACACATTGAGCACGATTTGATTATTTTATATTTGGTAAAGAAATAAAGTGCTTGGTCGTCAGTACTGCTGTGATTTACTTAAAGTTGTTTGTGGAAACACTGCATCATGACTTGCTTGATAATGTTTTCTACACTGTCCAGCACAAAACTCCACCCAACATTGATAATAATATTAATAATTTCATTTGCAACTATTTAGAACCGAAAATTAAAATTATTGGTCGTGTGCACCAAGTTTGAGAACCACTGTTTAAAAAAAAAAGAACCTAAATGTGTTTTTAGTTCAATTGTAGTAGGTTTTATTTTTAATTTTTAAATAAAGCAATGTTATGGGAATACATTCATTTTGTTACAACATGCAGACCCTTTTCAAAAAATTTGAATATCATCGAAAAGTTAACTTTCATAATACCATTCAAAAAGTTGATCTTTAATAGATGATGGATTCAGGGCCCACAATTCAAACACTTTCAAGTATTTATTTGTTTATTTTTACATAATTTGGGCTTCCAGCTCATGAAACGCACAAAAACGGGAATTAAAAAAAAATAAATACTGTGAAGAAATCAGCCCACACTACTCAGTTTACAGAAAAAAAAAAAGAAATTAGAATCACAACAAATCTGTCAAAATATGGTACTTTCAAAACGATGTGTCAATCTGCAATACTTGGTTGTGAATCTCTTTGTCTTAATCTCTGCCTCGATGCGACGTAGCATTGAGACAATCAGCCTGTGGCACTGACTGGGAGTTATGGAAGCCCACATGTCCTTGATGCTTGCTGCCAGATCATCTTTGTTGTTGGGTCTGGTGCTCCTCATTTTCCTCTTGAGAATACTCCATAGATTCTCAGTGGGGTTTAGGTCCGGCGAGTTGTCTGGCCAGTCAGGCACTGTGGCATCAAACCAGGTTTTGGTGCTTGTGGCGGCACGGGCAGGGACCAGGTCCTGCTGGAAGATGAAATCTGCATCTCCATACAGATCCTCAGCAGAAGGACTCATGAAGTCCTCTAAAACATTCTGGTAGACTGTTGTGGTGACCTTGGATTTAAGAAAGCAGAGTTTACCAACACCTGCACCGGACATTGCACCCCAGATCATGACTGACTGTGGATATTTCACACTGGACCTCAAGCAGTATGGGTTCTGTTCCTCACTCTTCTTCCTCCAAACCCTTGGACCTTGATTTCTGAATGAAAGGGACACTTTACTTTAATCAGAAAAGAGGACCGAGGAACCCGACAGTTGTAGTCCATCTCCCAGATGTGTCTGGATGTGGTGGTTTTTGAAGCTGTGACTCCCGCCTCATTCCACTCTTTCTGGATCTCTGCCAGATTATGTAATCGTCTCTGTTTGATAATCCGCTGAAGACCACGGTCATCTCTTTTGCTGGTGCATCTTCTCCTGCCACATTTTGCCCTTCCACTAGACTTTCCATTGAAATGCTTGGACACAGCACTCTATGAACAGCCAGCCTCCTTAGCTATGAACTGTTGTGTCTTACCCATCCTATGGAGGGCATCAATGATGGTCTTCTGGCCAGTTGTTATGTCTGCAGTCTTCCCCATATTGAACCGAACTGAGACAATTGAACCAAACTGAAGCAATTTAATGACACCTGGGGAAACCTGTGCAGGTGCTTTGACTTTAGTAGATGATTAGTGTCACACTCGGTTTAAAACATTCATGTCCTGCAACATTTGGGCTGATTTCTCCACAGTATTCTAATTGTTTAAATCCTGTTTTTGTGGGTTTCATGAGCTGGAAGCCCAAATTATGTAAAAATAAACAAATACTTGAAATGGTTTAAATTGTGGGTCCTGAATCTATCATCTATTAAATATTAACTTTTTGAATGGAATTATGGAAGTTAAACAACTTTTCCTTGATATTCTAATTTTTTGGAAAGGGTCTGCAGAAATGCATGACTTGCATATTGATTGAACACATTTATAACTTGCATGAGCATTTTCTTTTTGCTTACATATTTTCACATTGCCCTGTTTAGAGTTGTCTTAAAATGCGTTTTTAAAGTTCACGCTTTTTATGGTGCAAATAGAATTTTAATAATGCATTTTATTTAACACATCTGTGCTGTAGAAGAAGTAACTTCCAATAAAAACGACACTGTGTGCAGTACTTCCAACATTTTTGTGTTTGTCATAGGCTTGACCAGTTAACGTCATTATTCTGCATGAACACTTGCTGGTTTTCTGCATGATGCTTGATGTTTTTAAGAGTTTGGTTGTAGACTCTTAATTTGTTAGCCTTAGATATGAGTCATATCTTAATGAAAAACCCTTTTGTGTATTCCTGCCTCTTTGTAACTAATCCAAAAGCATGTACTTGTTCTCTCTTTGTCCTACAATGGCTCAAAGATGTCTAAGAAGATCTCCCAGTTCTCTGTCAAGGATCAGTTGGAGCACGATCAGCCTCCTAGTCATGGTCAGGCTGATCAACCCGCAAAAGCAGCGCTGGGTTCTAGGAAGAAGACCGAACCTGGCCAGAAAAATGGAGACACTTCGTCATCCCCTGAGAACGGAAGCTTGAATGGAGATGGAAAGCGCAGCGGGAAAAGCCGCCGCCGCAGGAAACGTTCTTCCAATGCTGGGAGTTGCCCAGAGGGGAAGACGGGTGAAGTGAAGAACGAAGAAAAACCAGACGAGCAAAGCAGACACGCACCCGACCAGCGTGCGGTGTTGATGGGTTTGCAGTCGGAGTGTGGCAACGTGTGGTTTGAACGCAACATTTACGAGCATGCGGAGAACGTGTACCATTGCTGGCTGGCAAACAAACGTCCCAAACAAGCATCCCAAACAAACCCCTCTCATCAGACCTCAGGAAAACGTTCAAACACTCCATCCACTGTGGCTCCATCTTCCTCAAGACCGGCGTGCCACCACAGTGATCAGGTGGCTTGCCACCATGTCGTACAGATGGCGTGGATCAACAAGACGACTTTTGACCTGGCAGAATGCTGCTTTGTTGAAGAATCTGTTCAACAATCAGTCCCAAAGTCTCTAAACCTACAGCGTCCGTCTAGTCCCTCCACAGCATCGAGAACACCCGATGAAGGGTATCAGTCTTTGGCCCCGACTCCTGCAACGCCTGTCCAGCAAGCTGTGGTCACACCAACCGCTCAGCAGTCCATTAACGGCCTGCCTCGCATCCCGGTGGAGTTGCTGAGAGAAGTGTGGTTGGACAAACCTCGGTATGATCGCGCTGAAGCAGCCTTTTACCAAAATCTCTACGGCAACAACTCCTTCAAGCGTCCAAGCTGTCCCTCCACCTCCAGAAGCAGCGAGCACCCTCAAAGCCTTGTGGAAGAGGAAGAAGAGGAGGAGAAGGAGGATGACGAGCTGGTGGTGGAGGAGAAGCGGATGGTCCCACAGATCAAAGCAGAAATTTTCCACGCTCTTCATCCAATCCAGGAGGAAGAGGAACCGGCTGAAGCCCCCGAGGTGGCGGAAGAATCGGGAGCGCGCTTTTTTCTTCACCCCAACAGCGAGCCGGTGTGGCTGGACAAGTGGCGGTACGATGCTGCTGAGAGCCGTTTCCATGGCAGCAGAGTGGATGAAGGCCGCACGGTGTCGAAGAATCGACGGCTGGAAGCAGAAACTCCTCCAGTTCCGTCTGTGGCCCAACAAAGGGACAAGTATGACCAAACTGGGAGAATGGAACTGCTCCAGATGTTTCAGTTCGTTTTCATTGATTTGTTTTTTTTCTGTTTACCATCATGTGTTCATGCGGTTGTCGTCGTTCACCTTTATTTTTATTCATCTTGGTTCATAAATCCTTGTGATTTGTCTGTAATTTTCCTGAATGACTGAGTCTTTTTTTTTTTAGTTCATCTTCCTTTAAGCGTTTGTGAAAGTGGGGGGTCTAGTTGTATGCAGTGTAGTTCAGTGCATCTCATAAGCCATTTAAATATTAGAATATAAAACTTTCCTGCTTACTAGATGATCCTACATTTAATTGTTTTCCATAACTTCCTGCCCTGATAACCTCCTTATCTTTGTCCTCTAGAAAAATGAGTTCCGTAGACTTTTTGGCTCAAGAGAAGATCTGGTTCGACAAACCTCGTTATGACGATGCAGAAAGACGGTTTTATGAACGAATGAACGAGTCGTCACAATCCACACAGGTAACTTTTTTATATTAATACTCGTTTTAGGTTCTTACAACTCATTTATGCAAATGCTGTGTAAGAATTAAGGAATAAGAATGAGGCATTTGATCAAAAATACACATTTATCTAAGTAATTGTTTTAATTTTAGTGTTTCTTGCATGTGCAATTTCTGTCTCCTGGAAATCGACGCCAAAGAAACAATGTCTCGATATGTAACCATGGGCTTGCTAGGAATGTGAGAAAAAAACAATATTTTGAAGACTTTTCTGCATTTGCATTCAGTTTATAATGTAATTCTACTATTTAAACTGGATGAAAAGTAAATGCAGAGGCCAATAAATTAATTTAATCTTACAAAAATTAAAACAAGACAGTGAGGTGCAAAAATATTGGATTGTTGAAGTCGTGCAAGATGTTTGAGGTTAAAATGAAATTCTTATGACAAAATGCTCGTCACTCTGGATGGTTCATCTTGATGGTGAACTAATTATAAATGATTCATGTTTGTGTTTTCCTAAATCTGTTTTTATAAAGTAAAAAAAAAAAGAAGTAATATTTGATTTCTTTAAGGACGCTAAGGCGAACTCCATTCTTCAAGACATTGCTCGAGCTCGGGAGAACATCCAGAAATCTTTAGCAGGGGTAAGAATTGATTCCAGATGTATGCTTATGTCTCGTCCTAACATAAAATGTTTCAGAGACGACAACAGAAGTGTGCTGGAAAGGAAATGTAGGGCAGATAAAGTACGACGATGTTTTGTTTATCGAGGCAGTGAAACAAGGGAATGGCTCAGGGTCGCCTAACTCCATGCTGTGTCACAAATAAAACAATTTAAGACTAATATGTAAAGGAGATATTGTTTGAAATCACTATTTTATTTAGCTTGGTTTCGCATAATAGCAGCACTTTTTTTACTTTTCAAGTAGTTTAAAATGATTTGTTGAAGTCCAAATTGTCATTTAGTCACGTATCCACACTCTGCAGCCTCGAATAAAGTTTGAACTGATTGGTGTTTATCAGAACTTGAATATTTTCATTGGACTCTGCAACTTTCTGGGCTTATTTAGGTTACTCTGGTCATTTGCTTCTTGTATGCACATTTCTTGTAAATCCCAGCAGAACCTTTGTGTTCGTCTGCTTCAACCTCTCAATTGTTTGTTCCTTCATTCAATCCTGTTGTTTCCTCCCATTTTGTTTCCTGCTTTCTTTCATATTTCATCCCTGCCATCCCCTTCCTCCAAGCTGAAGAATACACTTTGTAATAGAGGGTCAGCTGAGCCTTTCCAGAACCAGCAGGCTCATCTTGTAAGTGCCTCTAAGCCTCGTGTGTCACTGGAAACCCCACAAGCCGCTGTTCGCCCATCAGTGGAAATACTGAGCATGCTCACTTTAACCTGCTTCAGCCTCTAGACGACTTGTGTTTGTGGTGCAGTAAAGTTGTATCTCTGCTTGGTTTTATGCACAACTGGTGCTTTCCCTTCTGATTTGGATAACGTGTTGGATTTGTCCAACTTTTTGTCTCACCTGTGCAGAGCGCCAGCAGCAACGGTGCAGCTGATCAAGGAGAAATCATCTCTCGCATCAACAGTCTGGAGCTGGAGAACCAGAGTTTACACAAAGGTTTGACACCTTCACATAGAAGATAAACCTTCTGGATTATAATGGAATCAGCTGATGAATAGGTCAAGATGTAGTCTTTGTTGTAAACTACCACGAATAATAAATAAAATTACCTGGGCAGATCAACTATTTTATATATTTTATTACGATTTTCCATAATTTACCAGTTCAGATGTTTTCTAATTTTGTCAACAATGGCTTCATAAAATCTTAGCTGTCTGAAGCATCTTTTAAAACTTTATTAGCACACTCGTTTTGTTAAAAAAACAAAAAACATACCCTCTTTGAGCTCGCATGCCTTTAGCTAAAGATGAGATTTAAGTTGTAATGTTTAAATATTTCACAGTTTTAATGTACCGACATCTGATTTTTATACAGATAAATAAGAAAAACAACAGTTGAAGCTGCAGGTGAGGCTAATCGAGGTGCAGTTTTCAGTAAACGGAACTATTTTTTAAGTTTTTAACACTGAATCAACTTCAAGGACCAAAGTCAACCTTACCGTCGAGGGATCCTCCATTTAGAGGCATGACATGTGGACGTTCTTCAATTATTCTTCAGTATCAATCAGTGTTTAAAGTACGAGCAGAACATTTTTAAATGTTTAATTGAAAACACACAAACGCAGGAAAAAAAATCTGCTGCTTCAGTCCAAACATGACAAATCTTCTCAATTATAAAACAGTTCTTATGAAATTATACATTTAGCAAATGCAATCTTTATGAACTCTGATTTTTTTTTGTTATAATTGTAAAGTTTTAAACCCATTTTGTATTACAAGAGCCAATCACTAATTGGCTCTTTAAAGAGCCCACATTATTTTTTGTGCAGCAGTAAATGTAAGGTTGGACGAAGGCGTCTTCTTGAGGTGCCAAAAACAAACAACAAAACAAAAACTACATCTGTGTTTAATAGAAGTGCCCCACCTTCACTCAGACCTCTAATTAACTAGTAAATATTTTATTAAGCATGTTTAAACCGTATTTACAATGTTCAGTTGAACAGTTTGAATCTCCAACATCTCGTTTCTTCAGTGGTGGACAACTTGCGAGCAGCTCTCTCCAAACTCGAATGTCGAGTTGCAGTCCTTGAGAAAACTCCTGCTCCAGTGGCTCCAGCTCTCTCCGTCCCCTGCACAAACGTGAGTCTATATTGCACATTTTTGTTCATTTAAAGTACAGCTCCATACATTCTTCTGCTAGGATTGCATTACAGTTGTCCTTTGATTATCGCGGAGGTTATGCACATCCTGACCCTACCCCCTCCCGTATATGTACTGCACAGTAGCTACTAGGCCTGTCGCGATAAACAATAAATCAATTAATCGTATGATGAATGAAAATTATCGACCTCATTTTCATTTATCGGCTTTGTTTCTTCGTGACTCTCTTTCTACTGAAGACACTGGATGACAAAAGGCTCTTCACTGACCCCTCCCTTTCTCTTTTCTCTTTAAAATCCATCTTAACCATCCAAAATAACATTTATGTATCGTTAAAAACAGCTACGCTAACAGGCCGACCTCGCGAATAAACCTCCGTCTTGTCGAGCTCCAAAATTTGTGGTTGAAACCTGTGCTTTCGTGTAAAAAGTTGTTTTTCTCTGAAAAAAGAAGCTGAGAACTTGTTTACTGATTTTTTTTTAATTTTTTTTATTAAAAGCTTTGTGTGACAAATGCTATGGCAAAGAACTCAAACCACCAAAGAGCATCCGGCATGTCAGCCCATGTCACGTCAAGGGCCCTCCCTCCCATTTTTCTTAAAGAGACACTCTGCTCAACTATCCATCCTTTGGTTCAAACAGTCTTATACTGACATCAGGTGGTCAAAAATTGTACTACAACCAAACAAATCAACATTTCTTCTAAAATTAGACAATTATTGTTAAATTTCAAATATTATCGTTTATCGCAATAATTCCTGAGACAATTAATCGCCCAGCAAAATTTGTTATCGTTACCGGCCTAGTAGCTACGTACCGAAAACAAAACCACACAATGGTTCCGATTGAGTCCAAATCCGGATGAAAAATGTCCTAGTGAGCTCTGGAGAAAACACTGGACCTCCCCGCTCGAGAGGCCTCACAGGCCGGCAAGCAGCACTCGGTTTGACCGATGATGCTGGAAGTTCGGTTCTGGTCCAATTCTCAGTCAGTTCCATACGGCTCTCTGCATCCACTGAGCGCCGAGGTCACTACAAATAAGGACCAAACTTTTTTTTTTATATCGGATCTAAACTTTCCCTCCATTTCAGCAGAAAGCAGCGGCTGGAAGTACTGTTGGGGCTTCTGGGAAATTTAGTCCTTTTGAGTGGCGCTACAGTTTAGTCTTATTGAGAGAAAACTACAAAATGGCGGCGCCTGTCTAAAGTTTATTTTTTTCCATCAATTTTTTACTATATCCCGTACGGTCCCAATCAGGTGAGTTATATTACATTTGACAATTGTGTGTCGTGCACCATCTTTTTTTTTTCTTTATTCTCACGTACAATCTTACTTTGAAAAACTATGAACGAGTGAGTCTGCAAAAGTCAAACCACGAAGTAGTGAGGAAGGAAGTGCAGTCATAATTTAACCATTTAGTTACGAGCGTGTTGCCGACGACACATTTCTAACCTTGAACCTGACTCTCTTCAGGGTACGACTGTCCAGCAGAAACGCACTCCACTTAAAGATGACGACGACGATGACGATGATATTGACCTGTTCGGTAGCGATGAAGACGAAGAAGCAGAGAAACTTAAAGAGCAAAGACTGAAGGAATATGCAGAGAAGAAGGCAAAGAAACCCGCCGTCATCGCCAAGTCCTCAATCTTACTGGATGTCAAACCTGTGAGTTGTTTTAGTTCCAGGTCCAACACCGTCCTCTTGGAGCTCCTCCTTGGTTTAACTTGTGCTTTTCTCCTCTCCTGCTTGCTGCAGTGGGACGATGAAACGGACATGGCGAAGCTGGAGGAGTGCGTGCGCTCGGTTCAGGCTGACGGTCTGCTGTGGGGAACGTCCAAACTGGTTCCTGTGGGTTACGGCATCAAGAAGCTCCAGATCGCCTGCGTGGTGGAGGACGACAAGGTGGGAACAGACCTGCTGGAGGAGGAGATCACCAAGTTTGAAGACTATGTAAGTTCTGCAAACCATAAGATGGATGTGGAGTGAAATACAAACCGTCAGGCTCATTTTTTATGAGCATCTTTGACTTTTTTTTTCCCCATTTAAAAATATACTGGGGACTGTGCAGTCTTGTAATCCTGAGGTTGTTGGTTCGAGCCCAAGTTGTGTCAGAAAGGTCATCTGGCGTAAAACAATACATAGTTCCCACACACGCGACCAGTATTGCGCAATACTGCGTTTCCTCCACCCATCTAGGCTCGCGCTGGACCGCGTTCTCTCAAGATGGTGTCCAGACAGCCCAAAGACAAGTATATCGATATTCTTGTCTTGACCAAGTCACAAGAGAAAGATACATGCTTAAAATAGCTGCGGTCGGAGTTGACCCGTATGAGGCGGAGAAACAAATCACGTCAGACCACACTGACATGTCGTCACTGATAAGTTCCTCCGTCGTTAATTATTTAGTGAACACGAGGAATGAGGAGCTTCGCAGCCTTAAGTTAAATCAACGTTTTAACAGATTTGTGAAGGACGTCCAAGCTCTTCATGTTAATAAAATTCTGGTGGCGTGCAGAGTAATTGCAATAATGGTAAATATAAATGGACTGTACTTGTATAGCACCTTTCTATCTAATCAAGATACTCAACGCGCTTTACAATCTGTGCCTCATTTACCCATTCATACAGCTCTATACTAGATCTCTACAAAGCTAATTGAACAAATTATTCTAAAGAGACTAATCAGAGCTTTATCACATTCATACACTGATGGGACACGCATCGGAGGCAACCAGTGGTTCAGTGTCTTGCCCTGAGACACTTCGGTATTGACTGCTGGTGGATTAGAACCCCCAACTCCTGCATTGGAGGACGACTGCTCTAACCAGCGGAAACAGCAATTGCAATTTACTTAAAGAAAAAAAATTCGACAAAACTTAGTAAGTCGGCGTCTACAGCTAGAGCTTGCCTGCACGGGAGGAGAGAGCGCCAAATCCACCCCGAATGTTACGTCACATGGGAACTATGTATTGCCAAATATTTCATGCAAGTTTGCTCGCTGTGCTGACCCTTGAAGAAGGGAGCAGCTGAAAGAAGCTTCCACCCCCAAAAATGTATATAATAGCCAAATCACTCATCTTGCTTAATTTGGCCACTGGTTGAAACGGGGTTCCCTGCAGACCAAAGGTGGGCGTTTCTGGAGAATAGGTGTTTCTAGAGGGCAAACGCTGATTGGCTAACTGTATTTAATGCTGTTTAGGTAAGTTACGTCAGCTCTTTTTTTTTTTAACTGAAGGTTTCTAAGAACCAGCGTTAAATCTGCTGTCAAACACAAGAAGATTCTCTTTAGTCCTTGGGTTGTAGCTGCACCTGACACAGGTTGGCCTGAGTCTGGTCTGGGTACAACGAATATGAAGCATTGAAGCAAAACCTCAGGGGATCAGTTTTGTTGTGTTTCCTTGACTGATGAAGCCTTCCGGACCGAAGGTGAAACGTTTCGGCGCAAAAAAAAGAAACTGTCCAGATGACCTGACTGAAAAATGTTGGATTATATACCTGGATTATTGAGCATGGACTTTATTAGACTGAACATTACTTCAAAAAGTTGACTAGGTTAGCCCTTTAATGTAAGGTTTAGGTCAAATCTGTTAAATAATTTATTGTTGCAGACTGCACTGCCATCTTGTGGCCGACATAAGTTGATACTGTTCCTGTCCATGAGGTCTTAGGGTGGAGTTGATTCATTTTTCTTTCTGCTCTGTTTCAGGTCCAGAGTGTTGATGTAGCAGCATTCAACAAGATCTGACCCCTCCGAGCTTTTCATCATGCCTTGCTTCTCTGTTGATTGTGTCAACGGTTAATAATAAAATTCTTGCACTGGGTCAATTTTGAGTTTATACTTGCCTTTTTCTCAGCTTAACGAGCATGCTTCTCATACATATAGTAATAAAATATAAAGAAAAAGTCTACACTTGTGGCCTCCAAACTTGAAAGTTTTAACACTAGCTAAAATCTTAATAAACATGTATCTAAGCTTAATGCTCTAAAAATTGTGTAAATATTAAGCCATGATAGTAATTAACTCTAGATGCTCCCAAGTTTTTGCAGTTTAAAGGAAAAGGGTAATTTTACTAAAATGGTTCCATGATGCTCCGTTGACCATGCGCCGTTTGGGGTTCAGATGGTGATGGCAGTTAACATTCCCAGACACACTTGGGTAAAACGGCTGTTTACTGCAGACAACATCCCCGGAAAAGTGTTGAAAGAATGTGCCTGTCAGCTCTGTGAGGTGCTGGCAGACATCTTTAACACCTCACTTACCCTGGAGACAGTTCCCACCTGCCTGAAGACTGCCACCATCATCCCAGTCCCAAAAAGCTCTAAAGTGACTGGTCTGAATGACTATCGGCCAGTGGCCCTCACCCCAATAGTCACTAAATGCTTCAAAAAACTGGTCATGACTCACATCAAAACAAACATCAACATCAACGAGGACCCTCATCAGTACGCATACCGTGAGAACTGATCAACCGAGGATGCAATCTCCTCTGTGGTCCACACTGCGCTCAACCACCTGGATTAGAAAAACTTGCGTCCGTATGCTCTTTGTGGACTTCACATCCACCTTCAACACCATGATCCCCCAAACCCTGATGGACAAACTATCCACACTAGGACTAAGCCCTTCCATCTGCAACTGGGTACTAAACTTCTTAACAAACGGACCACAGTTAGTGAGGATCCACAACTTCTCCTCCACCATAACCCTCAGCACTGGCTCTCCTCAGGGATGTATGTTGAGCCCCCTCCTGTTTACTCTGCTCACATATCAGTATCAGCACGTATCAGCATCTAGAACAACTTTACTGGAACAAAGATGAGCTACTACAACAATTAATTTCCCTTTGGGATTTTTAAAGTATATTTGAATTTCTTTGAATTTGAATTGTATGATTGTGCAGCTACCCATCCAGGCTGTTACAATTTAAAGTTTGCAGATGATGCAGCGGTGGTGGGATGCATCACAAACAATGATGAGTCCAGCTACAGGCAGGAGGTGGAACACCTGGAGAGCTGGTGCAAAGAGAATAACCTTCACATCAATGTGAAGAAGACAAAGGAGATGATTGTGGACTTCAGAAGGAACAAAAACATCTACACCCCCTGAACATAAGAGGATCTGCAGTGGAAGTGGTCTCCAGCTACAAGTACTTGGGTGTACACATGAATGACAACCTCAGCTGGAGCAACAACACCACCAGCCTGATCAAGAAAGCTCATCAGAGACTACTTCCTCAGGCGGCTGAGGCGAGCTGGTCTGTGAAGCTCAGTCCTCACCTCCTTCTACAGGTGTGCAGTGGAGAGCATCCTGTGCTCGAGCATCAATGTGTGGCATGGAGGCTGCACAGCTACAGAAAGAAAAGCTTTGCAGAGAGTGGTGAAGGCTGCACAGAAATCTGTCGGAATCAGTCTCCCCACCATCACAGACATCTACACCTCCAGATGCAGGAAGAGGGCCACCTGCATCATGAAGGACCCCACTCACCCAGCACACACACTTTTTGCCCCACTTCCCTCAGGAAGGAGGTTGAGGAGCATTAAGTGTAGAACCTCTAGACTGAGGAACAGCTTCTACCCTGAGGCTGTTAGACTCATGAATCTCTAACTAGAATAATCACTGTGAAAAACCACATCATGTTGCTGCTGATCTGTTTCATGTTGCTGCTGATCTGTTTAAATGTTGATGTGTTCATGCGTGCTCATCTGCTCACACAGACTCATGTTCATGTTTGTGCTGATGTTCGACGTAATGTTTTTATGCTATTAGTGCTTAGTGTATTTTTAGTTGTTTTTCTTAGTTCATATCTTAGATGTTATCATTTTTTTCTTTTACATTTTATTTTTGGATGTAACTGGGACCCTTTATACATAATTTCACTCCACCACCACATGAGGTGCGAATGACAATAAAGAATCTCTGACTGACTCTGATCTGGCAACCCAGGAAGACCCTCATCCTTGGGGTTGTGTCATCTGCTGGTTTCCATGACAGCTGTGTCTCAGTCAGCACTCAGACAGTCCCTGAACACATTATAATGAGTAAGAGGACAAAAAACTGGTCTTAAATTATTTTTACCTAATTCTTTTGAGACTGCAAATTATTGTAAAAGGATAACTGTAGTGTCAAAGTTACTACCATCTAGTGGCTGAGCAGAGAATCCAAATGCCAGCAGAGGAAAAAACACATAAGAAGAAACACCCCATCTGTAGTATTAAGCCATTTCATTACACCAGTTGACCATATTGCTGTAAAATCTTTAATGGCCATGTTTTCAGTGTTTGAAGGCATAAATATGCTGAATTTATTCATTATGTTTTAATCATAAGGGGACGAAAGTTCACGTTCAGATAAAAGGAGCTCGAGTGGATCAGCACGATCACATCAAGAAGCTAGATCAAGATTTTACAGAACAGCTGCAAGTTTTCCTTCACAGTAGCTGTTCTCAGACTTAAACAGAAGATGAGAGACTGAAATAATAATTTAGGAAATTTCATGAGCTATGATTGAAATGTGTGATAAACATGACCGCTACATGACAAGTAACATTTACTCTGATGCTTTTTGGAGATACCTGATCATTATCTTAACTTGGAAGGAAATCTATTAAATAATATAAATAAAAACTAAAACAAAGATGCATTTATTGGCGTTTCATCATGACATCTAATTTTTTTTATAGAACTTAAAAAGTAAAAGCTCACTGCCAAAAAAAAAAAAAAAAAAAGAGGTTAATTTGCACCAGAAACAAAATGAAGTAATTACTTACACCCCTCATTGACAGGTGTCTGGAAAAACAAAACAAAAAAAACATAATAAAAAGTTTAAAACCACAGCAAATGCTCAAAGACATTTTGATGTTTGTTCACTTAACAGCCTGTCTGTCTGTTAATTATCACTTCAGCCTGTTTTACAGGGTTGTCTTCCTCTGCCAATAAAGAAAAGCCTGTCTGGTTTTTGCAAGGCTGAAATGGTCCCGACGACAGCTGGATGGATGAGGGAGAAACAAAGAAGACTTACTCAGCACACCTTCTCAGCCTCTGTCCTCTGGTCAGGAGAGGCAGGAAAAACAAAGTCAGCGAGGAGCAAACAGTTTACCTGGGAGAGAGACAGAAAAGTGATTACTGCTGGGAACATCATCAACCCCGAGAGGCGGACAGAAAAACAATTTCTGGTTCAGATGTCGCGCTTCGATGAAAGTAAAATAAAGAAACGCCTTGAAATAAATAAACTTCTTTGTCACGTTAGTATTATTTATGAAATAATTACAAGCTACAATTACAACTGGGCTGCAGATCGTGTCATCTGCGGTTGTATGTTTTGGACACTCGGGTGAAGAAAGGAGCTGAGCTGTCAACTGATCACCACCTGGTGTTGAGATGTCGGGGGAAGATGCTGGACAGTCCCAGTAGACCCAAATGTATAGTGAGGGTTTGCTGGGAATGCCTGACAGAAGAACCCATCAGAAAGATCTTTAACTCCCACCCCCAGAGAACTTCAAACCATCCCAGCTGAAGCGGGGGCATGGAGTCAGTGGGCCATGTTCCACGCCACCATTGTCAAAGCAGCTGCCTTGAGCTGTGGCTGCAAGGATGCCAGCGCTTCTTGCGAGGGCCATCCTTGAACTCGGTGGTGGACACAATGGGTTAGGGAAGCTGTCAAGCTGAAGGAGGAGTCCTATCGGGCTTTGTTGGCTAGTAGGACTTCAGAGGCAGCTGAGGAGTACCGGAGGGTCAAGCGGTCCACAGCCTTGGCTGTTGCTGAGGCAAAAGCTCCTATGTGGGAGAAGTTCGGTGAGGCCTTGGATAGAGACTCTTGATCGTCTACGAGGAGATTCTGGCAAACCAGCAGATAGCAGCACTTGACCTAAACTGTGTTTAGTGGGGGTGGGGTGCTGTTGACGTCAACCAGTGATGTCGTCGAGAGGAGGAAGGAATACTTATCGAACCTTCCACGGCTTTTCACATCTTCCATGGCGGAAACTGACCTGAGAGACTTTGGGGTTGTTTTTTTTTTCATAACTGAGCCTGAGGTCGCCACGGTAGTTAAAAAGCTCAGTGGAGGGCTCTGGGGGTGGATGAGATCTGCTCTGAGTTCCTGAAGGCTCTGGATGTTGCAGGGTTGTCTTGGTTGACATGGTTTTGGAACATTGCGTGGACATTGAGGGCTGTGCCGCTGGATTGGCAGACTGGGGTGATGGTTCCCCTCTTCAAAAAGGGGGACCGGATGGTGTGTTCCAATTATAGGGGCATCACTCTCCTTAGCCTTCCTGGTAAGGTCTATCCAGGGTTAATGGAGAAGCGAGTCCAACTGATGGTTGAACCTCGATTTCAGGAGTAACAATGTGGGTTTCATCCTACCCATGGAACACTGGATCAGCTCTTTACCCTCACTAGGGTCCTCAAGGGGTTATGGGAGCTCATCCAGCCTATGTGTGCTTAGTGAACTTGGAGAAGGCGTTCAACAGTGTTTGGATTGCTCTCTTTCGGTCAATGATGAGATTCTTCCTCAAGTGGAGTTCAAGTATCTCGGGGTTTTGTTCACGAGTGAGGGAAGAATGGAGCGTGAGGTCGACAGATTGGTGCCGCATGCAGTATTGCGAACTCTATACCGGTCTGTTGTGGTGCAGAGGGAGCAGAGCTGTATGGCGAGGCTCTCTGTTTACCAGTCGGTCTACGTTCCTACCCTCACCTATCGCCATGAACTCTGGGTAGTGACAGAAAGAATGAGATCATGGATTCAGGTGGTTGAAATTAATTTCCTCTGCAGTGTGGCTGGACTCTCCCTTAGAGACGGAGTGAGACTCGGAGTAGAACCGCTG